CACACACACACACACACACACACACACACACACACACACACACACACACACACACGATGGTTTATGGGCCATATCCAAGAAACCTGTACATTAGTAACAACATCATAATGTGGTAACAAAATACCTTCTGAAACAATCTGGCGCAGAAACTAATACGCAGAGCAAAAACATAACTTTGTGGATTATAAAATCAAAATCAGAACATACACATACAAGATGCAGTCCTGCTCTAATGTTTTGAATTACAAACATAGGAGACATTACAGCATTACTGTAAAGGTTGCAAAGAACATTTGCAGTAATGCAACTTGAACATTGACATTGTGGATCCTAAGCATATCTTTGAAGCTGATGTTTTGGAGTTGTACTTGAGTTTGTTGCAAAGCAAAATTCTCATTTGCAGAAAACTGGAAGAGCTCAGTGCATGAGAGAAAATGTAAATCTGACATGCTTTCAACCTTGTAATAAGCACAGTTTAAGCAGTCACTCATCCCACAGCTATGGCAGAGCCAGCGTTCTCCATGCCACAGCTGTCATTCACCCATGTCATACCAGAGTCAATAGGGAGACACAAAGTGTGCCATGAGAACGTACTACCAGTCTAACCCTAACGGATTCATGGTGTACCTAGCTAGAAAGAAGTCACCCAAGACAGTCATGTAACTGGATTAAAGAAAGCAAACACATTAACAATATAATACAAAGTATGCCTTTTCTTTCCAGCACGTACCTTCACAGATGCACATGTAACTAATCAGCCTGTGTGACCACTTTGCAATTCAACTAGATGACTTGATTCGTCATTGACAAGTTGCTAAGCCATCATCCACTGCCAGAATTACAGCATGATTAAAAAACTGTGAGCACAAATACAACTTTTGGCTTTCTTTAAATGAAAAGTCATTTTCACAAATGCAAATTCTTACAATACACAAATAGTTAATAAGACTTTGAGCCACATTGGAAATATAGAGTATCTGTAAACTGCTGTGAAATTTCATGCCAGTACTCTTCTTCTGGCAGGAATCGCTGGACTGCTGTTAAGTAACAGTTAAGCCATTTACAGGGAGCCAGAGCTCCATGGTTGTTGCTAAGTAACCTGTGGTTTCACTCAGCTCATCTCATTAATGATGGCCATCTCAGGTAATACTTGAAGGATGATGTTGTATATTTACAACTCACTGTGACTAATAGCAGCCATTCATTAGGCTCCCAGAATCCTCATGTGCTTTTGGGGAAACTCAGCCCCCTGGTTGATTTAGTGACAGCTATAAAGATGACAGGATATTGGATCGACTGAATGATGGTAGGGGATTTCTTTCTGATCTGAAGGATAGATGGGTCAGGCAGATGGGCACAGAGCTTGACCTAAATATAGCCTTTTATTGGGGAGCAGGGAGTGTCCCTAAACACAAGTGTTTATAGTAAATGGGCTGACGGGGAGGGGTGGAAAAAGAACTGTTAAGTCCATCAATCTTGCCATCAAAATAGCACACACACATTCAAAAGCAGGATTCCATTTTTGTAGGAAGTGAACTTCAATGGGGCAGGGAATACCTGTGTTGTCATGCATGGTGATGTGTCCAAGAGAAAAGGTCTATGCCTTGCATGTGAGCTACTATTTACCAAACACTAATGTCAAAATATGACCAGCATTCTGACAGGCTAACTTATTCAGTCCTGCAGAGTAGCAAGAGGGAGGAGGGGGTTTTATGATGCAGCCTTAGTGTTAACTTGTCAAACCAAAGTCATGTGGTGCTTTGAGAAGTAGAAATACAGGAGGGAGACCATGCCCAGAGCCATATGGTCGGCACTAAACAATGAAATGCATCACCAGCATTCAGCATTTTTTTTTAACGATATGATTTTATCTAAGGCTGCAATGACTCACTGGGTAACTCGGAAAACTCAATTATTTAAAAAAGTCCTTAAAGTAAAAATAATTTGCTTTGATCCTTCCAAGTGCTCAAGAAAGGGGAACTCCCATCCAATGCTATTTGTTTTACACAGCGAAAAACTAAAGGTAAGCTACAGAAATTAAAATAAAACATGCAGATGAACTGTTTACTTGGTCTGAGAGACAGCGCTTAAATTAGGCAGCCTGATGAAGGCTTTCAGCCACCCAAATTTATATTCCAGCAATACCTGGAACAAGTAGGGGCGAGACTAAAGTGAGCCATGGGGTGTAGAAAAACATTGTTATTTCAAGGCTTTAGTAACATTTATTTACATGAATATACAAATGAACACAAAACAAATCTACTCCATCTTGGAGACAATACCGTGAGAACTCTTTTTTTTTTGTCTGCTATTAAAAAAGCCTTCCAAAAAAAGACAGTAACAGCTATTTTAGTTACTTTATCATTTTAATTTGCATGTATACCCTGACAATTCTGTCCTTGTGATTGTTTATGAAACGCTTAATATGGCCATAATTTACACATAAAAACATCAACGTAAAAAGGTTTAGTTTTCATTCAGCTATCATAAGAAGTTAAACTATTAAAAACATTGCAATTTCTAAACTTGTCAATTTGGTTGACACCACTACGTAAGAGGCACTAAGAGTAATATCTAAGATGTGAAGTTTCAACTCTCACAAACTGCTTTAACAAACTGATATCTTTCGAGAGCTTAAATAGCTAACACAGCTAACAAGGAAGAAATGACAGCAATTAAATAACATGGGTACGACATTTTACAAAATAAGATGACGTGCTGTTTACAGATCAACCCAGAATGAATCTGCATAATTTGACGCCAGGCTCAGTGCTCCCTTTGTTTTAAGAATAACAGTGAAGAAGACAAGAGAAGCAAAGAAAAAAAATAAAATAAAGATAGGACAGAAAGCAAAAAGATGTAAAAAGGCCAAATCTTTTTATAAGCACCGGCAAAAAACAAAAACAAAGAATAAACTCAAAAGAGGAGATAAGAAACAGCTAAAGACCAAAGATGCACTTAACAATAAGAGCAGGCATGAAAGACAAAGAACAAAAGCCAAACAGATCACAATAAGAAAACAGACCTAGAAAAATCCAGAAATCTAAAGAGATAAAGAAAGATATCTGACATAGAAAAAACAAAACAACAACAACAACAACAAACAAAAAAAACAAAACACAACACTGAGCGAAAGACAAGGAAAATTAGTGCAAAGGAGGAAGTACCCCATCAGTGAGCTTGTGACAGTCACAGCACTGACAGAGGAGAGAGGGGAGTCATTCATAAAAGCAGCACATGACTTCATGACTGTTACATGCTTGTACTGCTGTGACCGCAATTGTCTGAACCAAAAGTGACTCAAATTCTGAGCACCACAGGTGTAAAAAGGTTTCATTTCCTTGAGCAACCTGTTGATAGAAAAAAAAAAAAAATCCCCAAAAAACATTCCACCCATGAATGTTTTCTGCATGTTTCATTAAAAAAAAACAACAACAAAGAAAACTAAACAAAACAAGATGGAAACAATCAGGATGTAAAATGACTGAATCACCTTCTTTTGTGGCAACAGTTATCAATTTGACATTACATAGATATAAAACAGAAACTCCACCCAAATACATGAGCAGTGTTTTTTCCCCTCACCCAAAACCAACAGGCATGCTTCACCACAAACTCAGTAATCTATATTATGTAACTTGACCTCAACAGATAGAATCAATCTTGTTCAATGCCACTGAGGCTGACAGTTAAAAAGCGACTGCCTTTCTTACGGTCTTGCTTGTAACAGCCAGCTGGCACATTGTAGCTCCCAACACTCGGGCAGAATACAAACTTAAGGGTAACAGCACAAGCGTTGTAAACAAACCTCCTTTAACGAACACCACCGTGCCCACTTGGATGCATAAAGGCCAGGTTAAACATTACCGACTCCTACCTGGGCATCATTGCGAGTCTGCCAGTCTTTCCCCAGCCCTCTCCCCTCTCTCTATTCCTCTCTTGCTTCTCCTCTCCAAGTCAAACCAGGTTCTAAGAATAGCGGTGAACTAAATTCACACAACAACATGAGACTATCAGGTGATCGCAGGAACACTGTGTGTGCTGGACAGTACCGAGGCGGCAACAGCACTGAGTCTGGACCGCTGACAGCCAGAAAGCGCTGTGATAAGAGAGTGACAGTAGGGACTTGTTCGTCTGTTGTTTCTGAATCCCGCTCTTTTTTTTTTCCCTCTCTCCCTTATTCATCAGCTTTCTCTTTCTTTCTCCAATTAATTTAAACATGCAGTTTTTTCTCTTGTAGAACGAACTGCATATAAAAAACATTTGGGGTAAGAAAGAGCATAAAGCTGCCAAATCTTCCCCACAGTTCCCCACAACTTGAACTTCAGAGAAATGGACCAGTTTATTTAGGCTGCTCACAACCTAAAAATGGTCACTGTCCCATTCTTAAATACTAAACTACATTCCTTGTCACATATTCTCTACTCATATTAACTTGATATAACTGCAACGCTGACGCAAAACCTTCCACGGCTGTTCCATGGAAGGTGTAAAGTGATAAAGGTCAAAACGTGGCAGCCTTGTTACCTAGACTGTACTGAATCAAACATCAGCCTATACTGACCTCGAAGAGCCCTAGCTTTCTCGCTCTCTCATGCCACTAGAATGTGTGTGTGTGTGTGTGTTCGAGACAGAGAGACAGTTACATAAACATCCCCTCTGCCTAAGCTGTGTGACGTTCTTCCGGCTGTGTGTGACAGAGGGTTCCGATAGGTGCAGCAGCTTGTGTTTTAAAAAGACATTTCTGCAGCCAGCAACCACAAGAGGGTCAACAGTGTCATAAAACTGGACAATTCCTACAATGAAAAACAAAACAAATAAAAAAAAAAACTTCCCCATCATACAGCATTTTGCCATTTAACTGAAAGCCCAAGTTCAAGTTAGTTGGAATTTCACTGCATGTGCTTGAATCCTGATGACTAATTTACTTGTCATTTAAAAACTCATCTAAAAGTAAGAAAATGCTCAGGAAACTTAAAATCGATCACAATCTGATAGCCCAGGTAGAACTTACAAATATGGCATGTGAACTCAAAATTAACATTAAATTGCGAGCTGAAATGTGTAGCATAACATGACATCATACACACACACACACACACACACACGATTGTTCAGTGTAGCTAATGTTAGCAGAGGCAGCCTTCCTTCCTTAATGTGGTTACACACTGGTTCTGTGTGGTTATAGGTTTACTCGAAGACTGCGGACACACAACCATTAATTTTCTACATGAACGTAAGGCACGACTGCTCTTGTTCATTCAGCTTTCATCTGCTTCCACCTCACTTTTTTTTTTTTCTTTTCTTTTTTTTACAGCTTCCCATCAGAGGGCCGTCTGTGGAGGCTACAGCACTGGGTAATATTGGATGGTGTCATAGCATGTTAAAATCAACAGGTGCTTAACTGTCTTGAAAAGGCAGCTACACTGAACATACTGCACACTATTTGCTGAAAATCCCTACTTGAAATTTTAGAGCACAAAGTGCATTTTGGCAAATATTGAACAGAAACAGGGAAGTAAAGCGGCAACATATGACCAAAGTCAGGCGTAAAGACTGAAACCGCTGACCCTAAGGTTGTGTGTAATAGCAAGCAAACCACACCAAGAAGAATCTAGATAAAGTAGAGAGAGCTTTCCATGTGGGAAGCCTGCTCAGTGATGACTTTAGAGATCATTACACAGGAGTACTACTGAAGTCATGTATCAATATGCATGTACTGACAGCATAGGAAAGCTGTATATAGCTCCTACCACAGCTCATGCACCTTCACAAACCCCCAATGTAAAACATGTATGAGTACCAGCTGCACCGCTAGTTGTGAGCTATAGGTCATTCTGTGCCATAGTGCTACTTTCCAGCATGGCACATAGGCAATACAAACAACTATAAATACATAAATCACTATGTGACCCTGAAACGCAGTTAACTCATCTAATCTTTCAGACATATCTAAGCTTTCATCAGCTCATATTGTATACATATGTTCTCAGAAACTCAGACAAGTGCTAATACTTCCCAAGAAGTAGAAGATACTTCTGCCTAGTTGTCAAATTTGAAACCTTCCCTGCAGGAATTGGTGTATCTGTGAAATGGTATACAGTCTGAAAATTAACAAACAACAGAAACAACACTCCTCTGCTGCTGGAGAAAGCCAACAGAAACCTCCATGGGAAAAATGTTCATTAATCAACTGATTAAGGTAAACAAGTTGTTTATTCATTATTAAATAATTAATCTACTGAAAATAATCTGAGGGTCCAAGTTTTTTTTTTTATGAGGGGAGGGGAACTACCATCACAATACAGTGAACGTATTGTCACACACGCTCTGAAAACACCTGACTACCTGCATATCAGCTAGTTTCTGTGCTGATTATGTAGCATCGAGGACTTCTGCATTCCAGCAGTCACATGATACTGAGAGCATTTCTGGAACACCCTGAGATGACGGTTCACACCTACAATATAGACACACAGAGACTAGCTGATTAAAGTAGGCAGATATAATAGATAATCAATTAGCTGTAAACACCATATCTGAATAAAAAGTCACAAGTAAAGCAAAAAGTAGCCCAGTCTAAGTGTATTCTCTGACAACACTCGTGTTTTATGTGGAAGGTTTACAGTGGGAACACTTTTTTTTTTTTTTTTTATTTATTTACTTCTAACTTTTCTTACTATACACATCCTCTGCATTTATCTTTACCCAGTGAGGTTGTGTACACTCTGGATTAACTCTGTGTGACAACTTCTGAATCAGCAACACATGACAGAAAATGAGTGACAGCTGAGTTGGGAGTATCGAGTGTATGACTATTTCTCACAAATAATCACATGAACGGAACATCAAGCTGAAGAGTACTGGTGGAAGTCACGTAGAAATCGGGGTAAACGGTCAGTGCTGCACATGTAAATCAAATTCTAATAAGCAAAAAAAAGATCATATGATCGAGAGATTCAGTTTCGCCTCAAAAAGCAAATATCATTTCACTGCATCAAAACACCTCCCTCACCATGTTTTCTGTCATTTCTTCCTTTCAACACTCTTCTCATTTAGAGATTGAATGTAGGCTAATTAGTTAATATGAATTTTCTGGTTTTCAAAATTCCAATAAATTACTCCCACAGCTTCGTATCTGAGAATATTCAGTCTCATCAATACCTTTGCTATGTGGTGCTAAGTTACAGATTTATTTTAATTCACTTATGTGTAAAAGCTTCTTAACTCATTCACTGCCAGCCATTGGCAGTGAATGAGTTAAACCCATTGACTCATTCACTGCAATTGACGGCTATAGACGTCAATTGCAGTGAATGAGTTAAATATACATTTAGGATAAGTTATCCAACAAGCCTTTATAAATTCTCTGCCAAAACTAAAATAGAAAGATTTCAATACCCAAAAATGTGTCTCTGCATCAGCCCCAAGTATCCAGTGTAAAAAAAAAGCAAATGTAATTTTCTCTGATCTTCTCAGGTACATCTGTAATGTATTGGTAAGGTCACATGCAAACTTGCTATACAGTAGAAATGTCAAACAACAAATCAGTCATAGAAAATAAACTAATAACTCCTCTCATCACTGTACCATGCAAATTACATAGGGAGTTCCTTAATGCGTATACGCCACAGGATAAGCAGGCCTAGCTAAATGTAAAGTCATCATCCTAGCATTCATTTGGAAATGTCAGTGACTTGGTAACCAGAAACCATAAAAGCCTTATCTTCAAGCAACCACAGACAAAACAACTACTGGTGACGCAATTTGAGCAAGCATTATATAAAACTTTTAGGCTAGGGGTACCGGTGAGGCGATTACCAATGACAACAAAGGATAGTGTTGATTGACATACGACAGAGAACCAAAGACATTAGAGGGTTACCTAAGCATGTGGAGCCTTGAATGTCCATTAGAGACAAGCTGTTAACTATAAACTACAGCTGACAAGAACTGCTTTCAGTATGGACACTCCTTTAGGTCCTTAAACTGAGTATGAGCTTCACATGGCAGACAGCTGATTGATCCGTACAGTGTTTGCAGGGAGGTCGCATGTTCTGGACACACGAAGGCCAATTAAAACTCCTAATTCAACCTGTGGTTTGAGTTATCACATTCTAACTGGTAAATTATGTTTCTTCTCTTCGATCCGTGGGTTACCATGGATCATCTGCCTCCATCTCACCCTCTCCGTTGCATCCTCTTCTGTCACACCAACCATCTGAATGTCCCCCTTTAATATATGTATCCACAAGGTTCCTCTGTGGTCTTCTTCTTTTCAACCTGCTGGGCCCCTCCATCTTGATCATCCTTTGTCTAATATTTCCACTACCCGCCCTCTGCATATTCCTTCCATCTGAAACTTGCCTCTCTACCTTTGCCTCCAGTACATCTTTAATAGCCCTGCTTAGATTTCACGGCTGAACCTGCTAGGATACTAAAGGTAATGTAGAACAGCTATTTCATTGCCAAAAACATTTTGATACAACCTCTGGCGCTATAATTTTCATTCTGGTAGCACATGTAGACATAATTACACTGTGCTTAAATAGTAGAATAGACACTGACCCTTTGGCTCACAGAGCGTAATAGAAATTTAATATCAAGCTAAAGGGCACATTCTGAAAAGTTTGTGACGAATACAAACGCGTTTGCGCACCGCTGTAAAGTGTGTGATGCCCCTGCAACTTTAACATCAAATTATATCCTTACTATGACCCTGCAGTTCTGAGAAGCCTGAGTGTGGCCACTTGAAATAGCCCCGATAGGAACCCGATGACAGCCGCTGTCTTTACAGAACCTTGGCACGCCTGCAGCATTCACACAAGCATGCACCGAGGGAAGAAAGCAGCCCTGCAAAATAAAGCTATAACATTCACAGTAATCCATGTCAGTTTACCGACAGTGAGTGCTTAAAAAGAAAGTAATCAAACAGAGAGCAGAGCAGAACAAGCATACATAAAAACGCTGTGATGGGTTTTTCATTTTAGAGTCAAGCTGGGAATTTTTTAAGATAGTGATGCGATAAAAGGGTTGAGACAGTACGAGTGATCACATGTTGATTCATAACTTTAGATAAACAGCAACAGGATAAAAGAGAAGAGAGCATTACTTAAAAAAAAAACAAAACAAAAAAAACAAAGTGTGCATCTTCATCAACACTTGCAAAGATGCTTAGGTTTTTTTTGCCAGCGACTTTGGTAACCATGTGATCACTCAACAAACAAGACAGCCTGAGATTGATGAAAGCCTCACATGACACACCGAGTTATGAAAGTACGCAATGGAGGAAGGACGCCTTGCCAATCAGGAACCTGAGACACGACTTCTCCCAAACTATAAATAAAACATTTTTAAAGATAAATTCCACGGTGTGAGAAACAAGAAAAAAAAAAAAAAGTAGTACTCCAGCAAATGCAACGTCATGCATTTTCACAGGCTGTAATGAATAAGCTTGTCAAACATGATTTACTAAATCTACAATACACTGTACTAATTTAATTTATTTTAAATTCACCAAAGTTTTATTATATTTTCTAGACTTGTGACCATTTTATATCAACTTGAAAAGGAAACAGGTGAGTCCTAGTTTACCATAGAAAAAGTTTAATTCCACGAATCTATATATTAAACAGAAAACGTCAAACTTGAGTAAATCTGCTTTTACTCTCTTACTCGTATATTGTCTGTTAGTGCAGGTCATGTAGGAAGTTTCCTCAGCAGGCTGCCAGGACAAGCAGTTTGGGTGTGAGTGGGAGGACAAAGCTACTGGCTAATGATCAGGTCTCAGACTGGATGAGCCAAAGGCTTTTGGTGTAATGTACAGTATGCCGTCCCCAGTCAGGTGCCACAGCCAGGGAAACAGGAGTCTTTTTAGGCTTTCCTCTCAGGGTCAGCCAAACTACTGCCCTTTATGGTATTCTGGAGGGTACAGTGGAGTGGTGTGGCAGTGCATGGTGTCGGTGATGCAGTATGCAGGCCAGAGGTTTGCAAAACAGGAAAGACTTCATCTCTTCTGGATATTAAAAAATATAGCCTGGAAAATGCCAATAATAAGCCTGATGTACAAACTAAAAAAAGCTATTTCTGGTGTCACATTGGGCTTGCTTATTCCCCCCCCCCGTCAGAGGTTTTTAAGGTCATTTTCTTTTAACGTCTTGATTGAAATTGACTGCAGCATCCTACCCAGCCAAATTTATTCATGGTATAATTCTCACACAGTGCTTTTTAAAAAAAAATACTTCAGAATAGGGCTGGGCCATATCATACTGTTCACAGTAATACCGGTGTAATGTTGGGCAACGATACGAAAATGAAATATCGCGATAGAATAAGGGTAAAACGCACATGCGCAGTGCCTTTGTTTACATACGCACATGGCGGCGACACAGAATGAGAAGAGCGAAAGGGGATCGTTAAATGAAACGGATGAACCAGGTTTGTAAAAATGCTCCAACTTCAGTGGTGTGGAACTGGTTTGGCTTTCATCCATCAGATACACAACAAAGCACTATTTTTGGTACTGACCTCGAAACGATTTTATGTGGTACACGGCGCTCGAAAATCTGTCAAATGTTTCAGTACGACTTTGCTAAGCTACAAAGCCGCACCGCTTGATGGATTGTCGGAGCATTACGGCTATCGTAGGCAGGAGCCTCGCGGAGTGATACGTACTGTGCTTCAACATAATATTACGTATTGTGTGTGTATAACCTCTTTTTAAGTTTTGTGGATATTATACATGGTTATGCTGAGGATATGTCGGCCAATTTCCACTGGAAATGCCTTTTGGTTAAACTGTCAGCAAGGAATTTGCATTTGCACTGTTAATTTTTTATATAACTTTAATGCACATTAAAAAAGCTGCTTGTTTAAGTGAAAATACATTGATTTTTTTTTGCACTAATAAAGTTGAGGAGTTGTAAAGTATTTTGTCTAGTGTCAATTATATCGTCAGTTATATCGTTATCGCAAATTTTCAAATGTATATCGTGATAAATTTTTTGGTCATATCGCCCTGCTCTACTTCAGAATACTGTTAACGTCATCATTTCTGCAGGCCACCTCTGCCAGTAGACTGCAGTCACGTTATATTCTCTGTTCTGTCCATCTTTTAATTTTGCATGCTCAGTTGCTAACCACTTCATCCTCCAACTTATTTGTTCCACCCTGTCCCATTAGATTCCCCTCCCTTAGACCCTCAACTCAGTGTTTTTTTAATTCCTTTTAACCATTTTTCTTTTATGCAGAAACTCCTAATGCTGCATCTTAGCCTATTCTTGCTACCACACAAGTGTCCCTCTCCAACCATGTCTCCACACAGTTCTGTCCTCTCTAGAGCATTTCATGCTTGATGAATGGGAAGCTTATGCCAGAGGTATGAAGAGCACAGCTGACCACTGAGCTAACAGAAAAGCCTGCTGCCTGCCTGTTTGCTCTGGGATTGATGCCAGTCAGCCCCCGCCCCTCCACGCACACACACACAGATTGCATTTATATCACTGGGTGCAGGGCACCTTTATGACAGTGGAACGTGCTCTGGCTCAGGCATGGACCAAAGTGCAAGCAGCACCACAAGGAGATGCGCTTTCAGGTAAATATCTTCCCCATGAGTGACAAGGTGGGAGAAACATTGTGCAATGCCAGTGTATTTAAAGCTTTAGAGCACGTTTTTCCAATGGTGGCAGACCTGACCCTGAGTGTGTGAGAGAAAATACACAGGGAGACTGCAAATCAACTCCCATTCAGCTCAATGATTCATTGCCATATCAGGCTGAATGTAACCTTAGAGTTCTTATGCAGCTTACATCGGTTTTATACTCCATACATAAATAAAACTTTGTTTTAAGATTATGATTGGAAACATTATGTATGCTAAAGACGCCCAGTTGCAAGCCTGACAGTATTGGGCAACATGTCGCCGCAATACTGCGTTAACTTGCCTTTAATTTTTAAAATACATGACCAGATCTTTATAGGGTAAATATCAAAGAGCACTGGTGTTTGGAAATGATAAATGTTTTCTATAGCTACATGGGAAATGACATGATTATCTGCTTTAGTGGATGTGGAACACAAGCAACGCGTGCAGGAAATATTATAATCACTACAAGCCATCTTGCATTTGTTCTAAGCATCGGTGTTCTAAGTAAACTCCAGCCACTTGTCTATTTAACATCACTGCAATGTTAGGTGATATTCAGACGCCATGTAGCGCTATTTCAGTAAAATTAACACTGTGCATCAACAGTCTACCGACACAGCAGCACGGTATGGGATGCGTCAGCGGCCGAATGAAGCGATCACATGTGCTTCCATTAAGAGCCCACGGTGTCCTGCTCTGTTGTCTGGTGGAGAGTACAGTAACAGAGGCAAAGTCGAGGGATGCTACTTCTAATTAGCTCCAAGTTATCAGGATCCAGCCAAAGATAAGCTACAAAAGAGCGCGACAATACTGTCACGTGCGTTTTTTCTTGCCACAATGCTGTTACCACAGAAACAAAGGGGAAAGAGGAGGGGGGAGCAAGGGAGAGACAAAGAGAAAGCGAGATACTTCTACTGTAACTTGCAAGCACCATTTGACTATCTTCGGGATGACAATAAAGCGTTTTTTACTTATAAGCTGACATAAACAATTACTTATGAGCAAAAAAGTGATGGTTAACAAGCTGAGTCAAGTCCCACCAAGACAGCGCGTGCAGCAGCCTCGCTAGCGTCCAACAGCTAGCATTAGCATGTAGCTAACCGCACCAACAAGGCACAACACGTCTCTCACGTCACTCTACACTTTTCCAACACCGACGTCAAATCAGCCAAACTACACAACGCTCATCTACAGAGTGCATCGAGTTCAATATAAGCGTTGCTCCAAATACACTGTCATTCCTTTCAGACGTCAAAGCGAAAGCCATAAATATTATTAACGTACACACGCACAACCCTACACACAAACCACAAACGGACACGCACGCACACAATAAGCTACCTGAAAGCTGGGTCCTCTTTGCTACACCTCGGGGGCGGCGATGAAAACGCATTTCTCTTGTTAAAAAGTTTCTGAAAGAGAGTCGGAGGCATCTTGTACCAAAATGAATTCGGTACAGAAAGTCTCTTTCCGTTTTCAAATCCACGACCAAATCTTGTTCCTTGTAACTGTCTCCATGGGTGTCACAGTCATATGACACGCATTAGTCACAGGAACAGCTTGGTAACCCACTACATTATTCTGATTGGCTCACCGGGCGCCAATGCTGCTACAACAAATAACCCGATTGGCTGATATTTTTGGTATAAGTACCACGTGGTGAGTGGATTCGCTGTGTTGATGTTTTGTCGGGGATCGTGACAGCATGAAATTTATTCACACTAAAAAAATATCTAAGTGCGACTGCTCAACGGCTTGACACACACACACACACTTCAGATATTATTGAAAGACACAGTTGAGAAAATAATTAAGTGTAAGAAACGCATCAAACACAGAACGGAGGGATCGCCACAAGAGGCATTTTAATGTATTTTTATTTGCTTTAGACACTTTCTGAATCAAATACATATGCAGATTTTGAGGACAAAGACAAATATACATAAATATAGATGGAGTATACTTAAAATACATATCTTATACATTTAAACTTTGCTTTTAAATCATTCTTCATTTAGAAAGTCCATAGTAACACGTGTCAGGAGAATAAATGCAAATATGGACAAGCACAACAAGCAAAAAACACACACATATATAGACACACATATATCATATTTAAAGGTGGAAAAGCTCACTGTATGGACAAGACAGACAATGGTTTTTAAAGGTAAATACATATGTGCCATCTAGTGGTCATTTCACATCACACTTTTTTCATATTAACAAACGCCAGTCTAGCATGTCTCTTTAATTAGTTCTTAAATGTTATTTTAAGTTTGTTCCATAGATTCTTCTCTCCTTCTTTTAAGTAGTTACAGACCATTTTCATATAGGGCTTTCTACAATTAGACTAATCTAATCCAGATGAGGGGGTAAAGCCACAGTTTTCTGTTTTCTTATTCTAGCTTCAAATGTGGCAGGAAAGATGGTTCGGTGCACTAAACAGCTGTGAAAGGAAATAAAGTAACACTTCTGAGTTTCACACATCTTTCTCTCATGACCTGAAAGAGAGTATCTCTCTCCTTGTCGGTGGCAAAGTCAAAGAGCTTGGGTTTCTTATGACTAGTTTTGACAGACCTTTTTAGCAACATGGTCAGAGCTAATGTTTCTTCTTCCGAGCTGATCTCTGCATCAGGCTTCAACTCCTCCGGTGGGCTGGACATTTGCAATGGCTTGTTGAGACTGGGAGTCATTAACTTTGAGGCTGGTATGCATTTTCCATCAAAGGTCTCAGCAATTACAGGACTTTTGAATGAAACCACCTTCTTACACAAGATAGGTCTTCTGTAGCTGAGCTGTGGAATAAAAGTCATTTTGATCATGGCTGTGATCCCTCTTACTTTTGTTTCTAACAAAATAAAAATGATCTACATCATATCAAATTTAAACAGATGTAAATAAATGGGCAGATGACTTCTTACTCTTGGTGGGGTTTTCCTCTTAAAGGTTTTGTCTGCAAATTTAGGACAGAAACCACAAAAGTAGTCGTAATAATTATACAATATCTATTTATTTTCTGTGTGTGGAGTTGATTTTAAAATACATATGAAATATATGCACTTGCCAGGCACTTCATTAGGTACACCTTGCTAGTACAGTTGTGGGCACCTTTTTGGTTCCAGAACTGCCCAAATTCCTTGACTTCAATAAGGTGCTGGAAACATTCGTCAAAGAATTTGGCCTATATTGACATGATAGCATCACACAGTTGCTGCAGATTTGCTGGCTGCATATGAATAATATGGATTTCCTGTTTCACCACATTCCATAGGTGCTCTATCAGACTGAAATCAGGTATTTAAATGATACTCACTTGGTACTAAGGGGCCCACATGTGCCAGAAAAATATTCTCCATGCCATTACACCACCCCCACCACCAGCAGCATGAACTGCTTCTAAAAAGGCATGGTCGATCCATGCTTTTATTTTGTTAACACCAAAATCTGATTGTAGCCTGTGAATACTGTGCAGAAAAACTCGAGGCTCATCAGACCAGGCAACATTGCTCCAGTCTTCTCTTACTCAGTGTTGGTGAGCCCTGCATTCAGAGATCCTCTTGGTTGCAATGCTCTAAATATTTGTTTACTGTTGCCTTCCCATCAGTTCAAAGCAGTCAGGCCATTTTTCTCTGACCTCTGGCATCAAAGCATTTTCTCCAAGAGAACTGCTGCTCACTGGATATTCCCTCTTTGTTTTTGACAACTTCCTGTAAAACCCAGAAGAACAATCCCAGTAGATCAGCAATTTATAAAATACTCAGACCAGCCTGTTTGGCACCAACAACCAAGCTACTTTCAAAGTCACCTTTCTTCTCCATTCTGATGCTCAGTTTGAACTTCGGCAGGTCTTCATGATCATGTCTTAGTGCCTAAATGCACATAGTTGATGCTATGTGATTGGTTGATTATACATTTGCTTTAGTGAGGAAACTGAACAAGCATTCCTAATAAAGTGGTCGGCAAGTGTAGTTTGCAATAATGGTCATGCTCTGAATACTACTTGAGGAAGATGTGTTTCTTATGAAATGAGAGCCTTTACCTGATTTCAATGTGTCATTTTGTACTTTAGCAGCAGATCCGGCTTCTCTGTTGTTGCTTGATAAAGAAATAATAAGGAATGAAGCAGTTAAATTGCGTGAGCCACAAGTACTAAATGCTTTGAGATTCAACTGAGAAGACTTACCTGATCTCACAGGTCTTTTCAGCAAGAATAGTGGAGGCATCTGCAGACAGAGTTACTCCTTTTCAGACACACAGGTATGGTTTGGGTACGCATATAAATAAGACTGCATTTAATTAAAGCATACTTGGCATTTTTTCTAAGAACATTAAAATATGCTATAAAAACAAAGTTACTGTTCCCTTTTTTGTTCATTTGCTACTTCTAAAAGAGAAACATTTTAAATGTAATTATCAGATGGAGTCTAAGGAGCTTGCAAAAAAAAAAAAAAAAAAAGGGACATACCAAACACGACTGAGTATGAATAAAGTTATACTCTTAATACCTTTGTTCAATTAAGTGGAATTTATTGAACTGAAAAAAAAGAGAGAAAATTAAAGTGTGCCTGAGATTTTTTCCCAGTATTACCCAGGATGGTAGAAAGGTTAGGGGGATGATGCATGTGTATGCTCTCAGCATGGCTGACATCCAACAAAGTGGAGTTTTTTATGTGACGATGGAGATCCAGCAGGTCTTCCTTAATGGAAAAATTGAAGGTTTCCACTATCAAGACAAAAATAAAAGTGAGAGACCAAGTATGGCTGTGGACATACAAAAATGTACACATACAAATGCACTTAGACACACCCTTGTTTTCTCTTCTGAAGATCTCTGGAGAGGGAAGATTGTTAGAAGTTGCAGAGTCCAAAAAGTCCTCATCCTCTGTGTCACCAGAGCTGAAAGTTGTGGCAGTCTCCATGCTAGATAATGTGAAGCTTTGCTCGTCTTCTTTACCCGACATTTCATCACCTTCATGAGCCTCTACTACAGTCACTTGAATGGCAGGTACGGTTGCTTTGTGTCTGGTAGTTTCAATAAATGCAGGAGTGCTTAAGCTAAAAGTAGATTTATGGTGTACAGTGTTGGCCTGTGTGAAAAGAATAAGCATAGAAAGGAGAGGAAATAAAACGAATCTGGTGACTGAAGGTTATAGCATCTGATTCTAATGCTTTTTTATACTTAAACTCTTCAGTCAAATTTGTCTTTGGTTGCTGATTTTTTTGTTGTAATAATTCTTCAGGGCAATATATCTGTCTGGCACTGGCAGAGAAATTTGGCAGGTTGTTCACCCACATACTCGGCTCCTCAATGCACCTTTAAGGGGAAATAGAGTATAAGACTTATCGCCAAGAAGCGCTGTTACAACAAATAAATCGTCAACCAAACACTAATTTCCTCATTTTCTGAATAATTGCTCTTCACTCTTTTCTCACATGATCTGATGTATGTGTTCTATAGAACAAAATGCACATGTCACTTTAACTTCTTGCCAGTTTATTGGGGGACTCTTTGTGGCTTCAGCATCAACATTCACTTGTTTTTTTTCTCCACGTAGATTCCTTCATATTTTCTTCTCGTCACCCATAATTGTGAGCTAGTAAATATTGGACATCAGTGACTGTTAATCTTACATAATACAAAACATCTGGGCACACTTACAGATACTGGGCTCTTTGGTTTGACAGTGGAGTCATTCGTGACTTCCCTCTCAGGTTCTTCTGGAAAAGCTTCATAATGCTTGCGGAATAGAAGTTTCCTGTGCTCTTAAAGTTTGAAAGCATGGATGCAGAGAACAATTTAATGAGAACAGAAAATGGCTTTGCCTTTATTTACACTTTTTTTTTTAAAAGTGTACAATCAATAGATATATTAGATCTCCTCTTAGGTTTACACTAAGTAGATTTAACAGATTTAGAAAAGCAGTTAAAACCTGAGATAAGAAACATGAAGGTGTTCATAATATATTTCCCAACACCTTTTTGTCCTCACAATGAGAACTAGGCTCAGACCAAGATTAAAGCTTTAACTTTTAAATAAACAAGTAAGCCACCTGAAGTTTAACGTTTTAATGTAGACTGCGTTAAAATGTGTATTACAGTGTTTTTCTTACGGTCTCGTCTGGTCAGCGCTGGTTTCACGGGTGTATCTCGTTTGATAGGTAATCCACTGTCACAACGGAGTCTAATCTGGCGCTTGTATCGATCCATTTCCAATTAAACTGACTTAAAGACCAAATCACTTGCCATTCAGTGAACTGCTACACTATAAAACTGCTTCAGCTAATGGTACTAGTAAAAAATATAATTAGGAGAGAGTGTCTTTAATCTAATGCTTCAAGTTCTGCCTTTATCGTCCCCTGACCATTCTGTGCGTTACTTAGCAACCAAGCACACCTGCAGAATATGTGATCAGCTGCCAATCACCACTTTTAACGCACGACCGAAGCGATTTATTCGCATTTGTATGCTATTTAGAAACTCTGGAAAGATTTGGTAAGCGTTTATGTCGACCTTCATGCTTGCCATGCCTTGACAGATGCGATAAAAGTGAAATCACTGCCCTGCCATAGTAAAATTGGGTCTGTTTTAAAGTTCGTTTGCAGAAATGGACACAAACAAAGAACTCAGCCTAGCTTAACATAGCATTGATAGACTTCATTAGGTAAAGCCCCCTAAGCTTCTTCTTTTGCCTTAAGAATTGCCTTAATTCTTGGTGGTATAGATTCAGCAAGGTGCTGGAAAGTATTTGAGTACAGTAAGAAACATGAGGTGATTAAAGGTTTGTGACATACTGTAGGGTGTTGCTGCAAAGAGCCACCAGAAGACCGGTACACTGGTCATAAAGGGATAGACATTGTCAGCAATTCTGCTGTATGCTGTGGCATTTAAATTATGGTACTAAGGAGCTCACATGTGCTTAGAAAATGTCCCTAATATTACACCAGCAGAGGCAGGATGCATGCATGCATCTACTATTGTTCAAGTTTTGGTGAGCCTGTGCAAATCTTAGCCTCTGTTTTCTGTTCTTAGCTGACAAGAGTGACAACAGTTGTGGTCTTCTGCTATTGTAGCAATTTGGATCAAGGTTTGGTGTGTTGCACATTCAGAGATGATCTTCTGCATACCTTGGTTGTAGTGAGTGGTTATTTGAGTTGCTGTTGCCTTTCTATCAGCTCAAAGCAATTTCGCCATTCTCTTCTGACCTCTGGCATCAACAAGTCATTTCCCCAGATAACTGCTGCTTACAGGATATTTTCTGTTTTTCAGGCCAGTCTCTGTAGACCCTAGAGACTGTTCTGTGGGAAAACCCCAGTAAGGGAACAGTTTCTGACATTCTTAGATCTGGCACCAATAACCATGCTGTGTTCAAAGTCATTTAAATTACCTTTCGTCCTCATTGTGATGTTGAGTTTGAACTTTGGCAAGATATTGTAACCATTTTGACCACTATTTCGGGTGCTAGTTTAGCTCATTGGGTTGATGCATTTTTTCCCCTGCTCTCTCTCCCAGCTTTCCTTTCAACTGTTCTTTAAGAGCTGTTCTCATCACATGTTAAGATTGATTGTGTGACAAAGGGCCAAAGGAACACAGTCTTTCTTGCATCTAAAAACAATATTACTTACCTTTTAGAAAATAAAATAATATTTTGATATGAGTGTAAATAGATTTGTGAAGTGCATTAAGCTTAAAATACTCCTATTCCTTTACGTAATGGAGTATTTTGATACTGTGGTTGGTACTGTCCTTTATGAGTTCCTCTCATCACTGCTAATCTGGAGGATAGTTCAGTCTTTTTTCATGTTACCATCCTGACATAAAAAATTGCATTCAACATCATTAAAAAAGGACCAAGACACTAGTTGAAAATCATTCCAGAACATTTTTTATTTCACTGCCCTTGTCCTAATCCCCAACCTCCCTCATCCCGATTGCTGCACTCGATCATTACAGGATATGGTGCTTATTCCATTTTTACAGCAGAATAGATAAATAAATAAGTACAGTTCATCTCACTACACGCAATAAGAGAGAAAAAAAAATCATTCAAACCATTGATTCAATAAATATGCTTACATCTAGCTGTCTTCATTTATGTACATCCGCATTGTTTATGCTTTGGGACGGTAATCAACTTAAAAAGCGAATACATTACTTCTACGTGTAAACCTTTTTAAAAAACATGGTATCGTTTGTTTAAAAGTTGATGTTTGTTCTAGCGGAATTCATCATTGGCTCTTCTAAGTGAAACAGCCCTGTACCTGCAGCTGTGGCTGTCAGCAGCTAGATACAACCGGTTCCTAATGACCATAAAGAAATGCTTGTCTTTTTTCTCGTTAAATGCCAATGGTCCCAGCATTACAGGGCAAATTGCATGCATTGCCCCGAGACCTGGTGTTGCATTAGATATTTTGTTTTCTTTTACCTGACATTCTCTTTGTGCAAAGATGAGTGAAAAAGAAGTCTGAACCTCGATGACCGTTACAGATCGCCGGCCCTTACATAAACAAGGAGCATGCATGCTAAACCTCTGACTGCAGCCATGTTGAACTGACATAATGAATGAGTGCGCGGATACATGACACAAAGTGTAATTTGGGTGTGGCTCAGACATTGAGATGCTTTACATGGGACAGTGTGGACAGCGATGATTTGAAAGGCAGCTGCTCTCTCTCTGAACCTTATTATTGTAAATCTGCTTTCAAACAGAAGGGTGTAATTTCATCTAATTGCACCATATTTGGGTTATACCCAACTTTAATTCTTGTATCTGTTCGGGGTGGTGTATCAGCCGCCTTACTAGCGCCGTTTTTTTATTCAAAGAAAATCTAACTTTTTCCACTGGGGATGAAATCCATTACAATTCTACAAGGTGTCAGCATTAATGTACATTTTGACATCTCCTGGAGCTACACTATACACTAAAACATCACACTTGCTGTCGTATGACTGTGTTACTCTTGTAAAACAGATGAGTTTTGTTTGGCTGGTAGATTTAAAGAGGAAAGAAGAGCTGAGGAAGTGGGAATGATGATGCTGAGTTTCTGATGCTGGGGAGTGGGTGTATTTGTTTTTGGGTCAATAGCAGGTAGCAATGTATGGATGATTTTAAATGCCTCAATTAAAACAAAGAAAACAAAAATACATCGTACAATACACACCATTTCGTGGACATTATTATCTTTTTTTGTATTCACTGACAGTGTGAATCATGTGAGAAGCCAATGTTAAAAACTAAACTCTAAAATAACTTAATGGAAAGTTTTTCGGTGACATGATTTTCCATCTGACATTAAAATTAATAGGCGTGAGTCAAACTGACTGAGACATTGGTTTTGAATTTAATCAGTTGATATTTGTATTAGTGATGTACTAATAAGACTCTAGCTACCATGTGGGAATCTGCTAGCATTAGCTTGTTGTCCTCCTTTAAATCATTGTTTACTGTAAGCATACAGAAATCAGCTATCAGCACATCACGTGAATTGTGCCAAGACGTTCTCCCCCAGCTTTTTAACCTGTCCCCTAATAAACTGACAGTTGATTAATTGAACTTAATTCACAGTAAGTAGCAGTATCCCTACAGCTAATGCTAGCTAATAAAGTCAACACATTGCCACACCCCTAAAACGGTTGAGTCATTCCACCCTAAATAATTGGAGAGTTTTGGCATTTATGATGCGTCTTCATTTGTAGTAAGAACAAGTTTCTTTTCACCCCCTTATAAAATCCCAGTAACCATTCTTTACATTCATTATGGGTAACTCCATGCTGCCCTCTGCTGGCTAACCCTGAAATTGTTTTTGTTTTGTGATGGAAATTCATGTCACATGAAAAAAGAAATACGTTCCTTTTTATGGACTAAAATTTTTAAGTGTCGATTTAAAATATGTTTTCAATTAATTATGAAACAGTGAATGCGTACATAAAAAGGAAATACATATGACAATGTGCATTGTATTTCGCTTTATTGATTTCTTTAATTTGTTTTTATCTAGGCATTTTTAATCATCTACCGTTGGGCCAGTTTTGCTTTGCTTTCCGAAAGCACGTTAAGCGTCAGGTGACACATCTTTGTCCCACTGCAGGTCGCTGGACAAAGCGTCTGTTGTTGTTGTTTGATTGCTTTAAGAAAACTCAGGTCCGCCAGCCTTCACATAGAGATGCTGTTGTAGAGCTCATCAATCTTCGCCTTAAAAAACTCCTTCAGCTCCGGTCTTTTAGCCTTTAGCGTCGGAGTCAGCAGGCCATTTTGAATGGAGAACATCTCATTGTGAATGTAGATGTTCTTCACCTTTAGAAGAATAAAACAAAAGAAAAAAACAAGATGGTGAATGAGATAAATACTGCTCTTAAGTTTACTTCATCTTATAGCCACAAATGCATTGTTAGCCAATACTCTTGCAAGAATCACAAGACCAATCCCTGATAGTATATAAATGTAGCATATAACTTATCAAACAGCACAAGAATTTATGCCAGTAGCATTCTTGTTTCACTTGGCTTAATCTCCTTTGAAATAATTTAAAACATTAATATTTTAATTATTATTTTAAAACATATATATTTTATTACCATAGCTGTATCTGCAGTATTTCATTAATTTAGATATTGTGGTATTGCTTGGAGGGATCTGTGAATAACTAGATTACTTAAAGACATTAAAATTTCATCTAAAGGATGTTACATCAGGCACATACTGTTTATGGAGATACTGTAAAATGTTATCTTACATGTCTTAAGGTATCAAGAAAAAATACACTTACAAACAGTTAAGTTCCTACTTACCTGCTCGAAAGAATGGAGGCCACTGGCTTTTCCAAGACGCACCAAATCTTCAAGGATTCCCTTCTTTAACTCCTGTTAAACAAAGGAGAGAGGGAGCTTTGTTACATTTCTAAATAACTTCCAGTAGGTTTTAATAATATTAACTATAAGTGTTACAACCATATGCCACTTACAGTGTTTTTACATAGGTCCTCGTAGGTGCCCAAGATACCTTTCTTCTTGGCCCATTCAGGCATGGTTTCAGGGTCAGGAACAACTATTCCTACCAAACAGGACTGAGAAAAAAAAACAAGGTGTATTGGATAGTGATCAAAATAGAAAATCAACACTAAGTAACACATAGCCCAGATGTACTTGCAGGCTCTTAGGAGCCAAAGATGACTACCAGGCCTTGGAACACATAAATTTGAGCAGGAGTTCTACTTCACATTGCACTTCCTGTAACTGATTAAATGTCCTTACCTGCAGACTATCTCCATGAACATAAAGCTGTGCCACAGGTTCGCTCCTAATGTAGATGTTCTCGATCTTCTCAGGGGAGATGTACTCACCCTGCGCCAGCTTGAAAATGTGCTTTTTCCTGTCAACGATCTTCAGCGTGCCATTCTACGGAAAACGAGAAAT